ATGACCAAAAGATTTAGTAAAATTCAATGATCTAAAGCAGTGAGTGTATTATATATTTTTTCATATTAATTAAATTTCAACTTGCATAAAATGTGTGTATTTTAGCTGAGGTCTCCATGTGAAGTGGGTTTCTTATCTGATAGATTAACACAAAGTATCACACAAGTGTGAAATGGGAGTAAAAATCACCTTTCTAACTGACCCAGCCTGTATTTTTTTTTTTTTAAATCAGGCTGATTTAAAAAATGTAAATTTAAATCAGCCTTTTTAGGTCCCTGGCTCTGATGCTGTTCTGAGATGATACTCTCAACAACAGACTTATAATTCTTCATCTTCACAATAGTGTGTTACCTTGACTCTGCACAAGTGTGGTAGTTGTAACATGATTAAAATGTTGACGGAGAAGAGTGTTGAGTGAGAAATGATTTAAAAGTTAACTTAATTAAACAAGAAAAGCCATACGGAAAGTAAGGAATAATAATAATAAAAAACATAGATATCAGTAGATGCAAATAAAAAAAAGCATGTATAGGGGAACATTATTTCTTCACAGCAAAGAAACATTTCTACACTGAGATGGAAATTAGTGCCTTTAGGCTTTTTGCTTCCAGTCAGTTTTTTTTTTTTAAGAATCATCAAATTCTCACTGACCTATTTATCCCAGATTCCCAGGACATGCATCCCTTTATCCGTAGAGGTTAGGCTTACCTTCAGTGGCCATCTTGGCGAGAAGCTGGTCTGCCAACTCCTGAGGGAAGAGCACAGCCTCCCTGAAGCACAAGGAGCCGTCAGGCAGCTTCACGCAGAAACACTCCAGGTTCTGGCTCACATAGGTGAGGCACAGGTCTGTCAGAGCCGCCGGGGAGGCGTCATCCTGGACACCAAAGCAGAGGTGTTTTTGTTTATTTGTTGTTTTTCCAAATTAAGGCGGAAAAAAAGACATACTGGCGAAAATAAATAAATAAATAAATAAAATTACAACCTACCGTGTTTAAAAACAGAGAAGCCATAGCCATAGTGTAAAAGAGAAAATAAAGAGGATAGTTGTAGCTTAAAAGCAGCAGAGGGCTGGCGTCAGAAAAAGCCAGAAGAAATGCAGCTTCGCCTGTTTTCTGTCTGTATCAGAGCTTTTCAGTTTCTTTTTCACCTGCCTGCTCTGACACAGAGCTGAGCGAAGCGGAGGGAGAGCAGTGAAGGTAGGACAAGCGATAAGCCTGAACCCAGCAGCTAGCTTACTTGTTGTTGCCACTGAGCTGAGAAACCTCCCCCGCTGCTAAAACACCCGAAGCCGCCGGAGGTGGCGGAGTTCATGTCGACCAAGCACCGTAGCGACAGAAAACCTGCGAAATGAGGAACTAGATAGGAGCGACGTTTTCACTGCGAGCGACGTCTGTTTTTTTTTTTTTCCTCCCCCTCTGGCTGAAGCGAAGAGACTGACAGTAAACAAAGGTCACAACACAGGAAGTACATGAGGAGAGGAGGCGGCGCTACGGAAGCCCGCACAGGACGATTACGAAATAGCTAATGCTCCTCGGCTTTTAGAGGTTAAGCAGCACACGAGGGAAGGTAGCTGACAGCTTTGGTGCTAACAGAACCAGACCGGGTCCACATGCAGGAGAAGCTTTGGAACCACTCAAACAGCTAATTTTGTTGCGCAGCTCCAGCTCATGTTTCTGCTGTGCTGCGGACTTGACAGAAGTTGAGTCATGGCTGGACTTATAAACTTCGAGGATGAGAAGGAGGTGAAACAGTTCTTGGACAACCTGGGAGTGGAGTACAGTTACCAATGTTACAAGGAGAAGGACCCTGAAGGTAACTGCAACCCTGAGCTGTTCACAGACCAGCGGTGCTGAAACACGGACCCTCACGTTGCTATTTTATGTTGTTTCACGTTATTCTGAGATATAAAGCTACAGTATTTTATATGGCTGTGCTGTTATGTAATGCTGAAATAAGGCTATGTTTTTTATATATATATTATGATATTTAAAGTTGTGCCTTTTATATCCTTATTTCGTTCTTTTCATGTTTTGCAATGTTATTTATTTTATTTAATTTACACAGTTTTAAGTTTAAGTTATTCTTTTCTGTCATTCCAAGTTACTATATTTTGTTGTTACCTTATTTTACTGTAGGTTCTGGCATACTGTTGTTTTAAGTTATTGTATAACAAGTTATTTTATTTTAAGAGATTTATCTATTGTATGCGTTTATGCTGTTTTTGTTGTTTTTAAGTTATGGCAATATATTGGAATATAATATTTGCCCAAATACATTAGTTTACATATTATAGCATTTAATACATGTATATCTCAATAACAGTAAAGGTTTTTAAAGAAAGTAGAGATGAGAATAAATATAAGATAAAATGGACACATAAAGAACAAACGCCATGCATTTAAATAATATATATAAAATCCTTGAGTCATAGAATCATAGTTTTAGTTTAATGCTACTTTGTGATGACATGCTGTTATGTTTGCCTCTGTGTCTCTAACTTTCTGATGCGTCTCCTTAGGGTGCCAGAGGCTAGCAGACTATTTGGATGGCGTGAAGAAAAACTACGATTCTGCAGCACAAGTCCTGAAACACAACTGTGACACAAACGGACACTCGGAGAGCTGCTACAAACTCGGAGCTTACCATGTCACCGGCAAAGGTATGCGAACAGTCCGCTTTTTTCGGAAGGAAAGAAAGAGCGGACTCACTCTTATTACTGCCATCGTTCAATCACATGGCCTTAATCAGGCTCTAAAGTTACGTAATTACTGCCTCAAAAGTGTTAAAAACATCCTACAGAGTCAGCACTGTCATTAGCAAACATAGCGTCTAATCAAAGACAATCACTTGATTTCCAATCAATCACATTAAAAACTCTACTTAAGACTGTAGAAAAACGCTGGACAGCAACTGTGACCTATGGTGGTGGAGGTGTTATGATTTGGGCTCAGCTTGCAGCTACTGAGTTGACCTTGAACCACTCTGTGTGTCAGATATGAGGCCATCAGTCCAACAATTAAACTTAGTCAGAATTGCTTTCAAACTGTTTTTTTTAGATAACATTTCTGCCCCGACATGTAAAAACCCTAGAATTGAGAGCGGCCATCCCTTCTCTCACACCAGCAATGATTTTTCAGCTTTTATTTTTTTTCATGTCAGTGTTTGAAATGGATTTATTTTTGCTTCAACATTTCAACGAAAACTTTTCTTTTGGTTCTGTTAGCTGCCCTTTCGTTGTTGTAAGCAACATTTCAAGTATTTTGTCTTAAATATGTTGTTTATAAATTCTTGAAAAACAAAAGTGCAGTAACACCTTCCCAGCATGTCTTGCTCATACAATAAACCAATAAGTAAGATGATGAGGAACAAGTAAGTTTGTCTGGATGTTTTTTTTTTTTTGTTTTGTTTTTTTTTTCCCTTTCGGTACCCAAGTATGAATCAGACTTCTGGCTGTTGTACTTGTACATATATTCTTAAGTTAATAAATTCCTAATGTATCCCTGATCCTAATCCTATTGAAGATACGATTTAATGCATCTTTAACTCATAAAAACTACAAAAATGAACCGTGGGATGTGTATGGACTGTTTTTATGTTCAAATATAGCTACATTTACTGTTTTAAATTAATATGATTTCAAATTAAATTTTTAGACTTTAAATGTGTTTAGACTTACAGCAGATTTCTGTCGTCTTAGTGAGTCTCTGCTGAATCTGTGCACCAGGTGGAGTGACCGAGTGTCTGAAAACCGCCTATTCCTGCTTCGTGCGCTCCTGCAACGCTGGAGGAAAGAAGTCCATAGACTCCTGCCATAACGTCGGTCTGCTAGCCCACGACGGACGAGCTCTGGACGGCGGCCCCGACGCCACTTTGGCCCGGGAGTACTACGAGAAGGCCTGCGCTGGCGGCTTCGCCCCTTCCTGCTTCAACCTCAGCGCCATGTTCATCGAGGGCAACGCCAAAGGGCTGTCGCCGAACATGAGTCAAGCCTTCAAGTACGCCAGCAGGGCTTGCGAACTCGGACACGTGTGGGGGTGTGCCAACGCCAGTCGGATGTGCAAACTCGGGGACGGCACGGAAAAGGACGAGAAGAAAGCCGAGGATCTGAAGAACCGAGCGAGGGAGCTGCATGGGGCAGAAAAGGAAAGGCAGCTGAAATTTGGGGAGTGATTTTAGACATGTTGCTGTCAAGTGAAGGCTTGATTGATTTATTTTTTTTTACGCTGCCATGCATTGTTTCGCCTCAGGCAGTTTTGTTGGAGTAAAACGGGATAATTGCAGTTAAGGGATACCAATACGGTGTTTTTTCCAATGCATCTGTTGAAGATTGTCACAACTGTGTACATTTGTGTGATATAGAAAAATGTTGACGTCCAAACAATAAATTAATGAAATTCTAATATTTTTTTTCTGTGCTTCTGCAATTTGTAACCTGCAGTTGTTCAAAGAAGTACGGATAAGGTTACAGTAGTAAAAATGTTAAGAAACAAAGCACAAGAAGGTGTTTGTGGTGTTATTATAACATTTTTAACTGTTCTTTTTCCAGAGTGAAATGACACATGTTTGAGTTTATTGTGGATTTTCTGTAGCGTGAAAATGATTAACTGATTAACACCTGATGCACAGCTGATGATATTTGTTTAAACGTCATAAACTGCTTAAAGATAACACCCAGTGACAGAAAACATTTGACAATTAAAATAACAGATAAAAATAAAACTTTTGGAAAATTTTGCTTAAAGTTTGAGAACAATTTTTGAGTACTCGACTCTACCGACCTCTGCTGAAATGCACCTGCAGTAGTTTTGCTTCTACCAAACTGAAAATAAAAAAAGGAGTTTTACCGCAAGTGACCACTAGAGGGAAGCAGAAGCAAACACTTGAACTTTACTCTTATTTCAAAGCCCCATGGAAGCGTTCTACTGCACCCTGCCTGCAACAATAAACAAAGAGAAACGCGGTCCCCATCTGTCAAACTGACACTGTACTAGTCAACAATAATGCCGAGACGGACAAAAGATCTCTGTACTTGAGGATACTAAAGGCAGGTCTGCTGAGGATGATGAGCAGCCTGCCCCAGTTAGCACCCTGGAAGCTCCGCCCGTCCGTCCGCTGTGCGCCTCCTCAGCTCTCATTCAAAACACAACACAGCTGTTGCGAGACGCACTGTTGTGCTGCGGAGCGTTGTGGTTTATAGAAAACTGCGAAGCGCCGTCCTCTGATGTGCCCGCTGGAATACCATCAGACGGAGACAGAGGAAAACGGGGCATTTCGGTGAGTTACCGCACATAATGGCCCGGGGGGGCAACTTGGATATCGTGAGCCGCATCATTCGGTAATCCCCCGCGCATCAGACGTCGAGCTAGCTAGCTAAGGCAACGTTAAATCCCCATGGACGGATTTGGGTGTGTTTGTTTTTATTCACAGGATGCTCCTTTTTTATATATATAAGCAAAGCACCGTGAATCCATAATGAAAGCGTGATTAGAAACGACACGCTTAATGCAGGGATGATTGCTTTACGCAGACTGTTGGTATCTGTGGCTAGGTGCAGAGATGTATTAAAGCTTTTATTTTATTTTTCTTCACTCAGACCAGGTGAGGTTAAAATAGCCCCTCCGCATACAGAGAGAGGGAGCGGAGAGGGGCTTGATCTGATGCCAGCAGTAAATCATGCGCCCCCTCTTTCTTTTACAAGCTAGTGAGTCAAGCTAGTTAGCAGTATTTGTGACTTGCTAATATGGAGGCGTAAAAATAGCAGCGAGGAGACTCTGAGAGTGAGCATTGCTGATTTTTTTTCTCTCTCTTTCTCTTTGTTCGTTCATATTCAGCGTGTGATTCAAAGGCCGCTGAGTTTACGTGGGGCAGCCAGTGTAGTTAGCTCGCTGTTAGCAGCCACTGCAGGCGCAGTACCTGCTGCCTCTTCCGAGAGCTCATAGGCGATGAACCCCCCGCACAGCTCCCCTCAGGGGGGGAATGCTATGGGTGTGGCGGGGGGTTCACCCGCAAACAATACCGAGGGGGGCAGCCTTGGCTTACCCCAAACTTAGCCTTAGCATATCGGGGAAAGGTGTGCGACAGGAAAAGTAGGAGAATTTTGAATTTGGGAAATGGGCCAGAAGCGGTTTTCGACCTGAAATTAAGTAGAGAGTCGAAACTTAAAAAAAAAAAAAAACACCTGTATAAATTATAAATGTTTATTTTCTGTTAACACTACTGTGGCTAAATTAAACAATCCGAATCAGAGATGTCTTCACGTTACAAACTATCAAAAATAATGTATTTTCATTTTAACTTTATTTAATAGACCCAACACAAAGTAGCACGTAATTGGGAAGTGAAATGAAAAGCATACATGGCTTTCTTTTTGTTTTGTATTTTAAATAAACACATGACGTCTCTTATTCAGGATCTCCGTTTCTCCATTACTTACAGAAACATCCTTTTGCAACTTCTTTTGGGGTTATGTCTCTACCAGTTTTGCACATGATTTATCATTGAGCAACATTTTCTCCCAGACAGACTGGATGGGGAGCATCAATTTTTTAAAGTGCATTTTTAAGTCTTCCCCCGACTTCTCTTATGGTTTTTGATGTAGACTTTGTGTGACTGTAACACATGAATTGGATTGAAGACATTGCATTGTGCCTGTAGGTTTTGGCTTCCTCCATCTTGGGTCTTTTGTATCCTCGTCCAGGATTGCCCTTTTATTTAGTTTTCCCATCAACTCTAACCAACTTCCCTATTTCCTGATGCAGCTACCACCCTGTTATACCATGAGGATGGTAATGTGAATATTAGTTTTTCTCCACACACAGGAAAACTAATGCACGTGGACCAAAAAAAAAATCTTCTTTTAAATTTAACATATGCAAACCTCCTTATGGGATTTCTTTCAAAATTCTGTTTGCTCCCGCGACTTTTTGAGCGCACGACTTTCCACTTTACAATTGTGAATTGCTCTATTAAATCTGAGTAAAACACATTGAAGATGGAGGTTGTAAAGCAAGATAATGTGGAAAACGTTCTGGGGGCATAGTGCATGAATATCTGTTGAAGGTTAACTTTCCTTTTGTTGGTTTCTCTTTGACTCTCAGCTGTTTGAGCATGCCACATGAGCGGTCATGAACACTCGGTTTGCACAGCTGAAAACGTCCTGCGCCACCCTGACTAGAACTCGATTTTATCCGTTAATGTTTCCTGATTACTGTTGAGATTATTCAGAGAATAGGGTGGACCATTGTTTACATTTTTCAATGATTTCTTATTGTGAATTGGATAAATGAAAGTAAACCACCCATGGAATGCCTAAGCGTTTTCTAGCTGCTATATCGACACGTTGCTCTCTGTTTGCTGCATAATAGCTCTAGATGTGATTTTGAAAGACCTACGAGAATGCTCTGGGGGGCTTTCACTGTTGTGTTCCCCTCTACACCCTCACACGCAAACGGCCTCCCCCCTTCTGTGACGTCGTATCTCCCTTTTCTCCCCTCGAGATTTTTCTTTTGAGGAATTCAAGAACGTTACATTTCGATATTTCGTACGGCTGTGTGAGTTTGTTGTTCTCCACGCGTCACAAATGACCCAGAGGTCTCGGGTTCAGACTCATGACTTGGCGTGCCTTTTTACAGAGCTGTAGTGTTATTCAGAGGAGACTGATACAATCCCGCTCTTTTTTTTTTTTTTCTTAACCGCTTTCCTTGACATTTAGTAATGTGCAGAGGACATTCTTGGAAGATGATGACAATTCTGAGCAAGTTCTAAAAGCTTGGATGTTTGCAGTGCTTTTATAATGACATGTTCAAATTTTTGCTCCTGGACTTTGAGGGGTTTGGTTCAGAATTGAATGAAAATACAAGAGTTAAGTGGTGGGGCCTTCTCGATCTTAGCCACCAACCTGGGTACTTGTTACTTCAAGCTAATTTCATGGAATTGAGAGTAAACATTCAAAGTACGTCTTCCCTAAATGAATACCTCTGATCCCTGCTTTTGTTTAACCGTTTGAATCCCACTTTTACTGGCTTTTGAAGGCAGGTTTTTCTTGTGATTCCTCCTCCAAGAGCTGGAAGTAAACTAGTTAGATTTTCACACCACTGGCAGCCATGTTGCTAGCTACTTTCATTAAAAGGTGCATTCGAGACCTACTTCAGTTTGGCTGTAAAATTGTGTCACAGTCATACTTAACAGTGCTTGTTTTTCAGCTTTTTCAGACAACAAAATGCAAAGTTATTTTGGTTTGGTCTCCAGCTTTGAGTGTTTTCAATAGATCAGCATTTGGTATCTTTACTTTGCTCAGAAGTATTCTCCAAATTTTCTTGTAAAGTCATAATATAGGATCTCCCTCTATGCTGATGATGTACCATTGTTTACAACTAATCCCCAGAATTCAGTTCCTGCTCTATAATCGGTTATTTACATTTTTTTATTAGTCTGTGTGGCCTTATCTTTGGATGTAAAATTAGCTGTAAATCAGAATATCAGCAGATGCTAAAAAGCTTTATAGTTTTATAGATTAATCTTGGCATCAATTAAAATGATTTCTTCTTTGCCACATTTCCCGTGGGTTTTGAAGGTGTTTGTTAAAGTCCGATCTCAACCTAAGCATGTACTGCAAATTAATTACGGCTACAACTAACAATTATTTCAGTAAATGGATTATTCTAACAATTTATCGATGAATTGGATAAAAAAAACCGACACCTTGTACTAATTTTTGATTTTACCTCTTTAGCTATTTTTCATACATTTTTCAAAATACATAAAAAAAATGCAAATAAATAATTAAATTTCTTTTGTCTAAATAGCAAAATAAAGATTTTGATGCCTAAAATGCAGTCGTATAGCTTTCCTTTAGTGAAGCTAAAACTACATCACCTGAGTTTTGTGGAAAGAATATTGACGGACAAAGGTGTTTTCATCTTAAATGAAAAATATACACATGTATATATTGCACAGTTTTTTGGCTTATTTACTGCTATGACTGTGCTCTTTCAGCAAATGGCCTTTTTTGAGTCTGTATATTCCAGTTATTCATCACACTTAATCTGAGTTGTTTCAGCCCCAATACTAACAGTAATGCCTTTGAGTCATTAAAGCTGCGTAGGAACGCAGTAACGACACAGATTCCCTGTAACGTAATCAGGCCGGTTGGAGGAAGCCACCCATCGGTAGCTGCACGCCGCACCTCCACTTAATCCCAGCGCTGCCTGACGAACGCTGGCCCATCTGTCCAGGACCGCGGTGTAACTGCTCGGTCCCAGGTCTGCAAATGTGATTAGTCGGAGATTACATCTCTGCGTGTGTGTGTGAAATGAAACTCCCCTCTCACAATCAGAGCTTCGTGTTTACAAGAGAACAGGATAAAGTGCTGAAGGGGCCTCTGCGTCATCGAGTGCAGAGTCCCGGTCTCTCAGATTATGTTCCTCCATGCTGTATTGCATCACGTCCCGTCATGGCAGGCGTGTTTCTGTTTGTCGGCTCTAGATGCGTGTGCAGGTGAGTTAACAGGCTGTCTTCATGTTGGCTGCTATAGATGGTCCTCGAGCCTTTTTATTTCTTTTTTTTTTTTTTCCTTTAGTCCGCGTCAGCCTTCATCTCTACGTGACCTCCAATCAGGGCTGTAGCTCTGTTTCCACGGTAACTTTATGCGCGAGTCTGGCATATCCATTCAGCACAGATGGAACTGAGAAGTCACATGTCGTCACACACTTTTTGTTGTTGTTGTTTTTTTTTTCCTTTTCTTTTAGCGGCCTCCTCTCTGTTCCTGTCGGGAACGGGCAAACACGGTCTGCGGCGCGCGACGGCTTGTTTTGGAACACTGATAAGGGTATTGTGGACGACTGTGGGTTTGGTGAGGACTGCGTATCAGCCGGGAGTTGGGTGAAGTGGGTGTCGTGGATGCGGGGCTCGGCCAGCGCCTGATTAGCTGCGTGCACGACTGCGTGCACGACTGCGTGCAAATGTGCATCAGGACGATAAGAGGCGAGGATAATGCAGGATTCCACTTCTTAAATCTCAGAGGCTTGTACCACGTTGCAAGGTGCAGACTGAGCTACTTGCCTTTTTATTCGCTACGACGTTTGAGGAAGTAATGCTGCAGTGTCTCCCCTCCTCCCCTCTCATTGTGTGTGTGAGTGAGTGTGAGTGTGTGTTTGCCATGTGGTTCCTGTTGTGTTGTAATCACAGCTACTGTTTAGGAGAAGTAGAGGCCACCGAGAGCTGCTAGCCACAGGCAGCGTTGTAGCACAGAGGGTCAGGCTTAAGCTAGAGCAGAA